AGCTATCAAGAAAGCCAATGACCTCACTACACTTACCATTATAACTCTGTTTGGCAAGCTGGAAGAACATCAAGAAGAATTGCAAAGTCTTGAAAAATATGAAAACAAGAGTTAGAAGGAGAAGAATAAAGACAAGGAGGGTGAGAAGAAGTTAATAGCTCTAATGGCTTATAGCTCTAAGTCCTCAAACAAAGAGTAAGATGATAATGACTCAACTTGTGATGAAAATTATGATGATGAAGAAATGAGACTTTTTGTTCGGAGATACAATAGGTTTATTCGAAAGAATGGAATCAAGCACTCCGATAAGAATCTCATAAGATTTCGAAAACAATCCAAAGAGTCAAGGCAAGAAGAAAATAAAAATCAAAGATGTAAAGGACCTTGCTACAATTATGGTAAAGTTGGACACTACAAACCGAACTGTCCAAGGATGAAAAAGGACAAAGGAAAAGCTCCACCAAAGAAGTACAACAAACAAAGAAGAGCTTACATTGCGTGGGAAAGTGATAGTGATTCATCAAACGATGACAATTCAAGTGATAGTGATGAAACTGCAAATTTATGTCTCATGGCACACACCAAAAATCAGTCATACCACAAGAAAGACAACCACGACAAGCAAGTAAGAAAAGCATATCCTAACAAATTTTATTCTGTCTTTTTCTGAACTAAAAATAGCTTTTGAAAAACTGCAATACAAAGCTAAAGATACTTTTAAGAGATTATCCTCCGATAAACAAATATTTTCATTTTTGGAGAGTAAAGTCTATAAAGCTGAAAAAGACTTAAAATGTCTAAAAGCTAGTGTTGCAGAAAGTTCAAAGGATAAGGATGTTAGAGGATGTATTCCTAGAAGGAAATGTGAAGTTTATCATATTTGGCAACAAGAGGTTATAACTCTTAATGCCAAATTGGAAAAGGCTTTACAGCCCAAAGTTACTTTTGTCGGCGATCCTGGAGTTTTTAAGAATGTGTACACAATGTGTGCAACTCTGTCTTAGTTATGTTATGGATGTCTATTTGTTTATTCATCTCTTATATATTTCATTAAAGTAGTGATATAACATAATAGTGATATATATATATATATATATATATATATATATATATATATATATATATATATATATATATATATATATATATATATATATATATATATATATATATATATATATATATATATATATATATATATACACTCTCTATGCAAAACTGCCTCTGTAAGATCTATACATTTGTTGTGGTTTGAAAGATAAGACACTTCTAATCGTGTGCCTCGTCTCATATTAATGTTTTCATAGGGGGGGAAAATATATGTGATGATAAAGATTGAAATCAAATAATCATGGGAAGTGTTAATTAAACATATGAAATGCATCGTTGCATTTTTTTTCCATCATCAAAAAGGGGGAGTTTGTGAGTGAAACTTGGCCTCTATAAGTTGTTTTGAATGATGTCAAAATTACGAGACTCTAGAATCTCTATAACTGGACGTTATCTTTGAGTTTAGTGTGGCATCATGTTCATTTAGAAGGCTTAGGATATTTAGGAATCATATTGAAAATAGTCTCATGCATTAAAAAGTTATTTCTGCACAAAATTGAATTGCATGTGTCGACACATACGCATTTCAGGTCGACACATACAACTCCATAAATAAGCATTTAGCTTATGACCTGGTTAGGTCGACACATACGCATTTCAGGTCAACACATGCAACTCAATAAATAAGCATTTAGCTTATGACCTGGTTAGGTTAACACATAACAAAGCTTTTATGAAATTGCAAAAAAAAACTTATTTTATGTGTCGACACATACAATCTTCAAGTCGAGACATTCATTAGTGTTTTAAAGAATGTAGACAGTGACTTGTTTTGGTCGACACATTAAACCTCCAGGTTGACAAATATAGTTTAAACTTGAAGTATGTTTCGACACATACAATTTTCAGGTCGACACATATTGTTTGTTCAAGTCAATTTTTCAATTCTTTTTAATTTCTAAAAACTCTATTTTACACATAAACTTCCACAACTATAAATACATCATTCATGCATTATTTCAATTTGATGATACCATACAACTAGCCTACATATGCTCTTCATCTTCAACCTCTAATCCATGCATACACACTGACATTCCATTGCAATGATGTTCTGTTGGGGTGCCATCTAGACGAGATTTGATAATGTCTGATTAGGTTCTTGGGTAGCCGAAGATATTGGGTTGAGATTTATAGGGGTCTTCATCCGGAAAAACCGCGAGTTTGTCCTCCAATATCATTGGTTTATTTGGGGGTTTTTATGCAAGACGTTCAAGAGGTAATTGAGGCCAAGTGAAATCCTTTGGAGATAAAGAATGGAAGGGGTCCTTTGGAGATAAAGAAAGCAAAGGAATTAGCGAGAGAATGGTTGATTACAATTGAAGTCTTGTGTTTGCAATAGGTGAAAATGATGGTGCGCGAAAGCTTTGGAGATAAAGTATGCAAATGAGTAGCAAGATCCATATAGTCAATTTGCAACTATTGTGTCTTGGTCTTTCTCAAGATCAAATGAAGAGAATGAGTTGAATCAAAACAAACATTAGGGCTTGTGGAGTTGCTCTTGAAACTTATCTTGTATCAACTTTTTGCATAGTAAAAATTATCCTAATTCTATTGGAATTAGGCACAGACGTCCCCATACGCGAGGACGAAAGTTGGGAACTGTGAAGACAAATCCTCGTGTCTCTTTTATTATCAATTTTACTTGCTTTGATATCCATCAATCAATTTATCTAATACCATTGCGTTATCAATTGAATTGTAAGAAATTTTCCGGACTGCTTTTTATTTTAAATCAAGTGTTGATATTGCTTATAATCACTTTTGACTATAATTGCCTTTGTGTATCAACACAACTAAAGGGAAAATTCTGAAAATTCAATTGCACACAAAGTGTTTGACAAATTGATTTTGTTTGTTCTTTTAAATATTGTCATTAGAAATAGAATTTCTAGTAACTTGCTACAAACAATTGATAATGTGTTACTTGATATACGTTCTATTAATTCAGTTTATCATATTCACTCTATTTGCATTTTATTATATTGTTGCATATATGAGTTTCCAATAACTGTTTGTATAAATGACCTTTTGAAATAGCTTTCGCATAAACTTTTGTTAAAACAACTTTTTCAAAACTAGAATTTTCTAGAGTTTTCAAAAGGGGTATCTATTCACCCCTACTTTAGATACATTGCTGTCGTCTAACAACCTTCACATACTCTTTAGACATATGAAATTTTTTTAAATCGCATCTCACGAAGGCCATCTTAAGCCTTCTCGAACTTTCACTTAAGGACATATCCAACTCCCTTAATGTTTTGTGAGAAGAGTCTAAAGCCTCGTTCACATTGGCGATGGTATTTCAGTGTTAAACAATACCTTCCAAAATGACCTCAACAAGATATCCCTATTTTGTTCCTTGACTCAACACATGCACTTTCTCAGCTAATAGATGAGGATACCTGAATGCTCGCACCTCATCACCAGTTTCCCTTAGGAGATTATGGAAATGTTAAGTTTAGTGAGAAGATGAGCCTTCTTGATAACAATGGCATCAAAACGTTCCTTAAGCATCTGTTTTTGCTTCCGTAGATATTTAAGCATAAATATTTCACCCTTACATGGGAAAGTCAAGATAGTAGAGGCTTTGCACATCTGATATTGCTTCGGTCCCACCAAAGACCTAATAAAACATGCTCAACTACAAGGGCACAACCCAAATCACAATCATTAGAGGATATCAAACAAGTGGAACCCTGCTAGAGATCCTAACACTTGATCCTAAGTTATTTGTTCATCAACCAACATCTGATTTGATCAGACAGCTCCTTGCGACCCACACCAGATCAAACATGGCAGTTTTAATGGCCTATCATATATGATCATGTCACGCGTCATAACATGCACACTCTCTCATTCTCACTTTTACAAGCTACACATTTCATGATCTTAGTGATTTAAATGTTAGTGTTAATCTTGAAAGTCCACTCCACTTCACTATACTAGAAACTCATGTCACAACATCAAAATGACTTTCTCCTTCCGCATTATCAATATCTCATTCTGTCTCAAAAATGTTATAAAATAATTTATATACAGTATAAAATATTCTTGATATATTTCATAAAATAATGTCCACATATATAATTTTTTTTCTAAAAACAAATCATATTTCTTACTTTATTTTTATATTATACCATTCCTCTTTTTATTTTTGTCAAATCACACCATTACTTTGACATAGAATACAATATTTGGCCTTCAGCTTTGAAAGAATACCAACCGGACAACATGTTAGGAGACAAAATATATTGCCATTCGCTGTCAATTAGTCAACAAGTAATATTTTTCAAGCATCACATTCACCTTTTAAAATAATATCATTACCGAATTAAGTAATTGACATAAAATTATTAAATATTACTCCATCAAATATCAAAGAATACACTTGATATATTTTTTAAAATATGACCCCCTCTTAAACTACCATAAATATATTAATTGACGATATAATAAAAAATTAATGTCTCCCCTCTTGCAGTGCACATGTGCTATTTAAAAAAATTAGACAAGTGTATTTTGCTAACGCCACTTCTCACACATTAAGTTACAACTTGCAACAACATTTATATTTTAAAAGTCTATTTCGTGGCTGTCTATTAATTCAGTTGATAATTATATAATGATATACATAAGTTCGAATTTGCGACATTTTAATTTTTTATCTTTAATCGATGAAATTCCAGCAACTTGTTTTCAATCTTCCATTTAAACTTGAAAGAGTGATTAGTGTCACTGTCATGTTTGTTAATAATGAGGTTGATGTCTTTGAATTCGGTCTCATTACTAGGTAGTTATAAATATGCTACTTGAATGAAACACTACCTCAATTTTCTCTTACATAGAAACAATTTTGTATCAACCAAACATTACCTTAATTTGAAAACATGGTGTACGACCATCTAGAGTTTGTGTTTGTTCCGTTGGGACTATTGGTGTTCTTTTTGTACCATACATGGCTTCTCTTCACCATTCTTCGTGAACCTCATCGAACTGTCATTGGCTTAAACGCTGAGTCTCGTCATCAATGGATTCAGGCCATGATGGCTGTCAGTTACTTCTTGCAAACAAAGACTTCATATTTTGAAATTGCATGCTGCACACCTACTGTTTGATTATTTTCCCATTTCTATGAATCTCATTTTGTGCAATATTGTCTGTATTTTCAGGATCCCTGCAAGAATGGCGTTTTGGCGGTCCAAACAATCCGCAACAATATCATGGCATCGACTCTTCTTGCTACAACAGCAATCACATTGAGTTCGCTGATTGGTATTTTCACTAGCAATGGGTGGAATTCTGATGACACATCTTCCATATTTCACAGCACTGCTGAAGTTAAACGAATTTCGATTACCGTTTGTTTCCTTGTTGCGTTTTTATGCAATATTCAGTCTATTAGATGCTACTGTCATGTCAGTTTTTTAATCAACGCGCCTACACTCAGAGATAAGAATGCCTATATGGAATATATTGCTAAGACCTTGAACCGGGGGAGTCATTCGTGGTCGCTTGGATTGCGAGCGTTTTACTTGTCGTTTACTTTCTTCCTCTGGATTTATGGACCTATACCAATGTTTGTTTGTTGCTGTTTGACATCATTCTGTTTGTACTTTTTGGATACAACAGCTAGAATCACAAGGGATCTTCACAGTGATTCGTTCACGAAAGAAAGTGATGATGTAGAATCTGCATTGGAGACTGATTATCAACCTTTAGCCGGTAACGATTTAGCTGAAAATGCAGCTGTAGATAATGTGTAATTGATGTATATATGTAGCAGTTACAATTTTAAGGTGTCTTTGCATTTGTTAGAGTTGTGAGATGCGTGATAAATATGTATTATTGATTTGAGATATTGTCTACCTTATTTTCATTTATGTAATATTCTTTATTTCTCTTGTGTATATTTCTTATCTAATTAGGCAACATTCACTCCCTATTATCATGGGATTTGCCTTGTACATTTTTTTGGGTTAGAAATACAAAGCTATGAGAGCAAATCGTTCAAGCAATTCAGCCCCCAACTTAGCATTAGAGCTCACAATTAGTGGGTCCGAGAGGGAAAGTCCAAAAGTTTGAAAACCCCAGCTGTCATCAAGTTATAAACCTACTTAATTGTCTCGTCAGTTGACCACCACTACCAATAGTTGAACAATTTTAGCAATATTCAACATCCAAATAAGAAATTTCATGTTTAAGAAACTGTGAAGAAGAATGTGAAATCTTTGAAAGAAAAAAAAGAGGAGAGACATCAACATCAGAAAGAAATATAAAAGAAGTCTCTTTTCAATAAAGAAGATGAAGTTTGTTTCAAAACATCCTACAAGGTAGATAATATCGAGGTAACTAAACCATCTTATGAATAACTATTTAGAATGAGCAGTCAATTAATTGAAGAAAATGATATCCTGGAAGAACGTAACTTAGGTCTTAAGGAGTCATTAAGATATCTTAAAGAAATCAATGAATCATTCAAGATAGAAATAACTAAGGTAAGAAATTCAAGAATAGAATGTAATCGTTGCGACTCTCTAAAAAGAGAAGTAATCGACTTACGTGAAACCCTAAGTAAGTTTACCTAAGGAAAAGAAAAATTTGACTTGATTTTATCAAGTCAAAAACATTCCTTAAATAAAAATGAAATAAAATTTAAAAAAGATAGAAAACCTAGTAATATATAGATCATAAGAAAAAGAATGGTCTAGTTTATAAATGCACTCACTATAAAAGAGTCGGTATTTAGAACCTTTTGTTTTGATAAATTGAAAAGATCTAAAAGGCAAGAACCTTATTTTGGAACTAGTGCACTTGGACCCAAGAAGAAGTGGATACGAAAGGTAAAATTTTAGTGTTTTACAAATATGTTTTGTAGCTCTAAGCCTTACAAGAATTATCAATGAAGTTGTGCAAAGTTGGAGTATACTTCAAAATATACAACTTTTATGGAGCTTTTTTTATCTGAAATACGTAGAGGAGAACACATCATAATATGATTGGTGTTTCCTTTCAAAGAAAGAACTTTTCAAGATATCGTGATAAAAGAGGTATATACTATTTTTAGGTTGAATTAATCGTATAACTCTGATTAAATCCTTAAAAAAATAGTGAATTTAATCTTGCTCATCTCAATAAATTATTGTTTATAACCCAAAAAGACGAGTTCTCAAGAGTTTTATCGGATGAGGTATAAGTAAGGCCAAGCAGGGGTGCAACACACGAAGCACAAAACAAAAAATGCTGAAAACAGGCCAGCCAATCGATTGACACTTTGGTTCAATTGATTGAAGCATCTAGTAAATAAAAATTCAAATGTTAGAGACATCCACAACTGATATTTGGATGAGAAATAAATGCAGCAGTCGCGTACAATAGAAAACTAACAAAAACTCACCAATCTATTGGACAGTCTATAAATAGAGGAAATTTTCTCATCATTCTCATCATATCCTCACTTGTGCATTACATTATAAGTACTTTAATTCTCCCAATCATCAATCATCACCTCAAATGGTCTAAAAAAGAACCTGTTCATCACAATCATTATCCTCCTACTTCTCTGAAGAATTATCCTTGCAAGCTGAAGAAAGAAATTTCAATTGGTACTACGGTGATAGAGAATTAAATGTATCTCACTACCTTGATGAATATCTATTCAGAAACCGATCTTTTATGGTCGCTTTCAACTTCGTCGGATTGAAGAACTTCGTGTTTAAAAAACCTCAAGAGAAGTTCTATAAATTAACTAGAATGTTTTATGCAAATGATTTCTACATATATGGTGTCACTACTAGAAAACATGTCTACAATGATGATATATTACCACAACCATTTATTCACCGTAGTAATTTCTTATTTTTTACGCGCATTAGTTTTTTTTTTAATTTTATGAAGAAACATTTCATCACGATTTTTAAAACTAATTGTGATCATAGAAATTGGATGACAAACTTCGAATCCCAGCATCAACATTTTTCTATTTTTTTCAATAAAAATAAGCGCGAGACCCTTAATATATTTTGTTATTTAAAAATTAAAAGTATAACAACCACGACTGTTTCACTCAATCGTGGTTATTTGTTTCATATTTCATTATGGTCATTTCTTGGAACCGTTGTGAAATTCTTTTCACTTAATATAAATATAACAGACAATTTATTTCGTTCATAACATACAAGGGTGCCCTAGCGAGCGAAACAACAGCGATAACAAAATCTTCACCTTGTTTATTGTTCATTTCTTGCTCTCTCTCTCTCTCTCTCTCTCTCTCTCTCTCTCTCTCTCTCCCGCTGAGGTAATGGTATGTCTTTCTGAAAGTTTATGTTCTTCGCTAGGATTTCTATTTTAACATAATGACATTGTGATGTGTATTGTTCATGCTTTATTTAGATTTTATGACAATAACTTTGTGTAGTTACAAACTCATTATTAGTTTGTTGATATGATTTAGGTTTTGGTGTTGTTAAAGTAAGTAAATGGCAACAAACACTAAGAGAAGGAAATTATTTTATTCATTAAGAAGGCATTATATTTTGGATCCTCAGCAGACATGCCTACATTAGATAAGTTTATTCTTCATCCTCTCTTTTTCCACTTTGGAGGCCCCAACAGATGTGCATATTCTTTCAACTTTCTGAACCTTTGAAGCTTCCCCAGACTTCATCTTCTCTTCCTTTGCTTGTTTCTTCATCAGCTTGGTAATCTTCTTCTAAAAATCCATCTTTTCAGTCTTATATTGTTTACTTTTACCCATTTTAGCTGTAACGTGATTTGGATGGTTACGTTTACCCGTTTTTATAAGAAGAAATATACCTTGAAGACTATGCATCAAGAATCTGACTTTACTATCTTGAAAATTATGCTTAGATTCTCCTTGTTTCTGCTTCTGCTTCTGCATACGTCTATTTATGTTTTTCCTAGATTTTCTCTTATTTATTTTTTATCTTCTATGTGTAGATGTGTAGATTCTTGTTCTTACTTGATAAGTGCAAAATTATAGTTGTTTTGTATATATATTTTGTTACACTTATCGGTTCTTTTTTTATATTAGTTGAATAATCGGCCGTTTTGTTGGTAAATTCGTTTAGTTTGTATATATTTGTGTTTGCGTATACATAGTGTATCGTTTGATAGTTTTGTATTGATTTTGTAGGTATTTGAGCATAATTGGAGAAAGAGGAATAAAAGCTCTAAGATGTGCATTTGATCAATAAAGGAATAAGGAAAAATAAGAGAAGTCATTGCAAGTTGTGCAGAGAAAGCAACAAAAGTTGCTATTTTGGTGTCCGTCGCTGGGCGATGATGGGGCGAGAGGCTATCACATCTACATCATCAGGCGAACGTGGATTGAGAGGAGTTGATAATTTTCCAATTGCTTCTGACTTGCTTCGCTACTATGTTGTCGGGCTAGGAATAAATACCATCACTGGGAGAATCTTTCTGTCGTCGGGCGATGGAAGATATTTGTTTAAGTTTGTGTATGTGGCACAGACTGGGTGGTGTAGTAAAAGGCCATCGTTGGGGGACACAATTCCAGCGTTGGGCGATGTGTGCGGACAAATTTTTGTATATATTTGTTACCTTGAAAAATCTTAAGGTATTCAAGCACGTGTATTAAATGAGGATATTCTCATAAGTTAAGGGTTATCCTCTAAAGTAGGAGTTTTTGGGAAATTGAAGACAAAGTGTTTGAAATTTTGGTTTTATTAAACTAGATTTAATGTTTAAAGGGAATGTCACGCCAAACTGTCGAAACTGAGCTAGGTCGACCAAAAGGAAATAAAAGAATATATGTTAAGAAATGGTCGAAATTGGTTTAGTCGACCAAAGGGTGAAAGACAAGGAAAATGGTTGAAATTGGTTTTTGTCAACCAAAAGGGTTTCTGGACTTAGAGGAGTTGTTGTTGATTTTTAAATCTTGCCAAAAGGAAAGTGTTGAAGCGAGTCAGAAGCGGTTTACTTTCAGAATCTAGGAGCAGGAAGATTTGAATTTCAAAGTCATCAGCAGTTGCCAGCGGTTTACAATTTGTTTAAGCGCCAAATAGGTGGTGACATCCAGTGAAGTGGTTGTCTCAAGATTTTAATATTGTCCGTAGATTTCATCTAGGCAATTACATTGTAAATATTATAAATAAGCAGATTTAGTGTAGTTTTTGGTGTGTTCACTTGTATGCTCAAATCACTTGTCAAAACTCTGTCATTCTGAGCGTTAGGAAACAAAGAGTGAAGAAGTGCTTGACGTACATGAATCACCACTTTTATTTCAATGAAAATCCTTTATTTTTTCAATTATCTCTTTTGAATACTTTATTTTCTTTCTATGTACTGTCGAACAAAGTCTTTACGTTATTTTCTACTTCGCGTAAACAATTCAATGCTCTCTGTCAGTCACGAGTCACCAGTCAGTTAGTTTATTGAATCTTATTTTCATATGAATACCTTTTGTCGGTCACGAGTCACCATTCAGTCGATCGAATCATAGTGTGGAAAGTCGTTATACTTGTTCCCTTAGTCACGGAAAACTGTTTCCCTCGATAGGGATTTCGATAGAATAAGTATAATAACAAAAGTATTAGCACATGTTTTAAGATCAACTGGTCGATCTTGCGAATTACCCTTGCTTTTAGGACTTTGGGAGGACCAGCGGTTGTTTTACCATTTTCCATAGTAAACAAATTGGCACACCTAGTGGGACACAGTGCTAAGAATTTGTCTTAAGTGTATGCAACTTAGAAATGGAAAGTTAAAAAGAGTATAATAAACC